TTAAGATATTCAATGGCCAGATTTACCGTTTTGTTTATTTTTAAGCGAAGCTCAAATAATGCGTTGTTTGGAGCTCGTGAAACTGATGTGAGAGCCGCCCAACCGATTTTGTCGCCGTTCGCGTAAAATAAAAATCTAATCGAACTTACAGTATTTTTTCTAGAAATAGTTCATCCAGACCTATATCCTGGCAAAGTTTGGGGATTTTCGATTTTTTCATTTTGCACACCTCTAGGCGAAATTTTGGGACGATTGCTCTTAAGTAGCTTGCAAGAGGTTCACAGAGAAGGGTTTGGTTAACCAGTTAAACATTATTGGTTAATGGCCAAATCTCAGACATCGAAAGTCTGAGTTGCTTGCAGGTTCCAGTTAACATCTCTGCCACCTCTTGGCCTTCTCCCCCCCGCCAGCCTCCTCTTCCTCACCCCCCTGGACAGCTATCTTGTGTGTTGATGGAAAGGAGTATATTTCACAGTATTGAGTGTGCAGACAAAACGAAAAATATAAATTGCTTACTAACTGATTGTTGATTATGTCTGACGCAAATTGTTCGTTAAACATGGCCCAAAATTATGTTTAATATCGTCTTGGACATTTCCATGACCTGTAATGTTGAGCTCTCCAGTTTTCTGTTTCGTATGTCATAATCCTTTGTACGAGTTGAATTGATTCCGATATAACATGGAATAAAAATAAACGTTTGAATATCGTTTCTTGTTGTTCAGTTTGTATGTAGTTCGTCGAAAAAGAGGTATCTATATTGCTGAAGGTAATAGATGTGTCACCTGTATGCGGAATAGAATCTAATGGTATGAATTGCCAAATGTGCGTTTTTGATTGGTTTATCCTGTCGCCCTCTACAGAGGAACCTTGCAAAGGGATGATTTCTGATTTGTATTCGCACAAATTAGTGAAACCAGACCTTTACAGTAATAGATTTGTATCAAGCGTTACAAACTTCAAACAAAGTTTCTGTTGGAAACGTTGATATCAACACTAGTCATTCTCGATCTCGTAATATATTTTAATGGTCACAACTAAATCACTCCCTATGTCTCAAAGTCTTAGTCACTGATCACAAATGCAAAGGAAAGCTCTTTCCCTCTCCCCCCCCCCTTTTTTTTTATAACATACGCTCTCGATAAGGTTGCTAAGGAAATCGGATTTACGTCACTGCTAAGATCATCTTGAATATCAAATGTAACGCTAAACAATTGCATTATTGTCACGCGCTAATAATGATTGTCACGCACTAACAATGATTGTCACACTCTACATATATTTCTAACATTTTCGAAGGAAATGTGTTAATTAGGAATCGTTTAGAAACAAATGCGAAAAGGGCTTTAAATATAACAAGAAAAATTGCAAAGCAAGCAACGATATTTGCTTGCAGGGGCAACTTTTTTCTGTTTCGATTCTATAAATACTATAATGAAGCAATGTTTTCAATATTATAAGGGTATGCCGAGATTTTTACTTTCCGACAGTAGCGTTTCCTTCCTTAGCGTCTGCTTGTGCAAAAAGCTGAGAAGTGTCAAGAAACCTGCGAGAAATGCGCGTTGGATGGTTCAATGTTATCCAAGTGTCGGTATGTAAACACTCCCACTGAAACAACGTCACACAACAGTTGTAATAAGAATTTCCTCTGGCTACAGTGTCTTTCGCTTTCGTGACGCTTTTCGTCGGAAAGATCAGCTGAAAATCTTTACATGAATCCCTTAACTTTATTTTATGTCGATCAAAAGCCTCGTTTGACACTCGTTTTACACATTTAGAAGCAACATGTCGGTTTTTTTTTTTTTAAACGAAACTACGTACAATCCCCGGCAAGAGTGTTGCACGCTTGCCCAGTTCTGTTGGGGAAATTTATCAGTTCGGCCCCCTCCCCCCGATTCAATGTTGTTTATCGTGATGAATTCGTCATTGCTCGTTTCCAACATTGTCGGGAGGGGAAGGGGGTTCCCTATTTCAGTGATGTCGTAACTTATTGTTTCCAAAATAGCTTGTCAACGCATTTTCGTGCTATCTGATCCAGGTGTGCCAAGGACTTTTGTCGTGGATTGTAGATTAGGCTATTGAAATAGTCCACGCTTCAGGGCTTCCGAGTATTTCGATGCTCTTAGCCAATTGAGGTTATTCCACCGTTTTGGCCGGTTAAGGTGGAGACGAGAAAGCGAGAACAGAAGTAGAAAAGAAATTTAAAAAAGACGAATGGAAGCGAGGTAGAAAGAATCGCGCACAGTGAAATTCGGTTGTTCAGCACTATCAGAATACATGGAAACGCAACGGTTTAGGCTTAAAGCTAAAAAAATAAGAAGATTTTTTCATATATTTTTTTAAGTCAACTCACCTCAATACTTTTGTCTGCCAGCTTCGCAGCCGGATCTGAAGCGATGCTAGCGAGTTGTTGGGCAGTTTTCGCGCGTTATTCCCGAGCTCTTTTATGATTGGTTCGCAAATAAGTCAGTTCCAGGGCTCCGGATGTGCCCGGAAAGAGGCGTTTTCAACATGGCTGCTCACTGTTTACTCGACCTCGTACATGGCATCTAGTTTTTTGGCGAAGTTCTAGATTCTACCTTAGCGTCGGTATGCAGAGGCAGCCCATACCACCGGCTAGAAGTCACAAGCAGAAAATTGTAAGTAGCATTTCTTGTTATGCTGTTTAACGCTACATGTAGGAGAACGTTTTGGAGCTTGAAGATTGAAGAGTGAAGTGGAAATCAGAGTCGAATACAAAGTGTTAGAATCAGGCATTAGCCATGTCGCACACAGTTACCTATAGTTATTTTGGACGTTTCGTAGTTTGTATATAGTTTTTTGCAATGTTCGAAGCCTGTTCGGAGCGTCTCATGGCCACAGACTAAACAAACAAAGCTGTATAAACAATATTTTGCTTTTACATCCGGCAATTAATCATTATCAATCTACATTTTACTTCCAAATGTTTGACCTAGCCTGTATGTAAGCTTATATCTCAGAAATGTTTTATGCCTGTCTTTTCCCGCATCCGACCACTATATATACTTGTGCTTGAAAGGCATTTTTGCAAGCCTTTCCTTAGAAAGAAGCAACAAAAAGGAAGGACCTAAATATAAGATACCAAAACAGAGTCCAGTTTTTTCCAGCTGTCACAAGCTTTTGACGCTAGTGCTGTGCCTTTGTCAAGTGAATGTTGGTGGCAGTACTCTATTTGTCATGTGAGCTTCTGTGGTCAAAGTCCCATGACAAAATGTCTCCATACCTTCAGTCTCTAAATAATGTCTCCATACCTTCGGTGTCTGCTATGTCTTGGCCTGGCACTGAATTTCCATGGTCCCTGCAAATTCTTCTCTCATAGTTGTATTAGTGAAAAAATTCCAAAGAAAGAAAGGGAGAGTCAGAATAGAGATCAGCAGAAACACACTCGGAGTATATCCTGCTCCCCTATGTTCAGGGTGTATCAGGAAAAACCTTGCTCCATTTTGCAAACAGAGGACCAATACCTATCATGTATCTTTCGACACCATCAAATCACATCTAGTACACCCTAAAGACCTAAGGGCCGGGTCGCATTATGACCAATTTTATCAAAAATTGTTTACTCCAGGGATTAAAGTCTGTCAACACGCCTTTTTTCTATTGGGACCCCTCATTTGTACTTTTTCAAAAATTTCAAAATCGGCAAAAAGCATCAAAGACACCGGTGTGCTTGAGTGGGGTTGGCCAATTTTTCCAAATTCCGCAAAAACAAAGGAGCCCGCCGCCAAAGCTCACAACAGTTGTCAATATTGACTCCCAATACAGACAGCGAGGTCATGAAACGGAAAAGAGCAGGGAACTTCCTCATTCAGACTGATGTTTTCATTTCGTATACCCGATCGAAACATGGACAGGCGAACTTTTTTTCCTGTACTATTAGTCAAATGCCGAGCACGTCCTACCTTCAGGACATATGGCGCTTGTGGTAGTCGTCGCCGTCAAAGATTTCGTTCGTGCAAGAGAGCAGCAGCAAGTAATGATCTGCTGTGCTTGTTTAACCTTTTTTCGGTCATTAAAATAAACCCAAACAACTGGGTTTGCTGACACTGAATAGTGAGTAACAACAACAATACAGTTGTAATGCAAATTGCCCCATTTGGCTGCATGGCAAGTTTTGTGATGGAAGACAATTTTTGTCGCTAATTTCGTGTGATTGACGTTTGCATTTTACCTAACTGAAATGCAACCGTAAATTTGATTTATCAGTTTTATTTCTGGTCTTGCAATTTGATTTTTCCAGGCATTTTAAAACCAGCCAAATTGAAAATTGGTCTGTAATGGTGGCCCGGTCCTAACTAACGCCAGAAAGAAGTATGGTGTGATCAGCAAATTGGAGTGTGCGAACTGTGGAAAATTCTACTTCGGATCTAAATGTTTTGTTTATGTTTCCTATCATTTGGAAGCTTTTAGTTTTTAATATTTTTATACACATGACAGAATGTTCGAAAACAGTTGTACCATGTTGTTATGATCAATAGGAACACAGTGGCTGGCTTCGCAAGCAGGGTGGGCGATATAGAAACTTGAGGTCAAGATGGTTTGAACTTAAGGGAGATCAGCTGTATTATTTCAGGGATAATAATGTGAGTAAAATTAAAATTGTAACATATCAACTGAAAGTTATGGTGTATTTATATACATAAATGACCTTTCTATTTAGAATACATGACTGTTAGACAGCATTAGTGTGGTTTAAACTGGCAGTTAGTTGTTTGGCCAGGTGGCCAGGCGGCCTGTCAGCCAGTCAGCCAGTTGGTCAGTCAGCCAGTCAGTGAGCCGGTCAGTCAGTCAGTCATCTCTAGCTTTTTTCCCCTTGACTGTACTGTTAATATTAAAAATTAATAAGATTTTAATCAACCAGATTTAGATGGTGAATTCAACTTTCAAATTCATTCAAAAATTATGTTCATGTATGTTCACTCATTCAGAGCTCAAGACTAACCTTTGAACGCATTTAGCTTTAATGGCAAGTTACATGTCAGATTATACTAACCACATGTAAAGCAATTTTTAACCAGCCAGATTTTGTACTAGTTAGATTTTGGTACTGTGTTTTGTTGCTTTTTTTGCAAACCTTACTACAGCTGATATGATCTGCAAATGAAACGTATAAAAATGAAGTTAGTGCTGCCAGAGAGGTTAAATGTGGCTAAATATAATTAAGGCAAAGTTAATCATGAGCCAATGCGGCCAGGGGTCACCCCCATTTGCGTACGTGACCTGCGGGGTGACCTCATTAGCTTGCAGCTCGCCTCGTGGCCTGTTTACTTTTTGTTGCTTTGCAGCTGATCTTCGTGGATCATTCATCTAGCCAGCTATATTTCTGGATTTCTGTCTGCCGTGTGTTGCTAACGTTTTGGCGAATCATTGTGGACTCAGTTGCTTGCAGGGGTGGTTCCCGCTCGCAGGGTTGCCATGGATACCTCCCTGCTGTGCCTGAAGTGCTCAGGTCCCCTGCCAACCTATAAGGCATCAGTTCCCAAGCTCATCTATTGGAGATGAGTTTAAATTAAATAATCTTGGAGTGTTTTTCCTTGTGGTATTCCCACTGTAGTCAGCTTTCACATTTGCATTTAACAGTTTTATTTTGAATTATAACGCAAATGTCAATTATTGACAAGTATGCAAAGGTTCTGTAATTTAGTAAATAGTTCTATAATAATTATTAGCTATTTCTTGTCTTTTAGGAACCAAAGACACCCATTGCTTCCATTCCTTTGCCAGGGAATGAAGTTGTTAGATATCCACTGGATCCTGGAGAGCCCGGAAAATTCAAATTTGAAATTGTTTGTAAGCGACTCAATCTTGTTTACATTGTGATAGCAAAAGTTTCAATGTTTAATTTTAGGATTTTAAATTAAATAACACTCTAATGGACTTGCTTGATTTCAGCCGGCAAAGACAAGGAAGGCCGACCAGTTTCAAGTAACCATGATACCTTTGTTTTGATTGCCTCATCCCAGCAAGAAATGGATGAATGGATACGAGCCATAAATAGGATTATTTATGCAGTAAGCTGTGTTAACTAAGTTTAGGAGACATGCGTAACAATTACTCTTGACTTGATAGTTGGTAAGAAGTAATGCCCTGATTTAACTATCAAAGTGAATAGAAAATGATAGTGAGCAGTCTTATTGTTTTAGTATAACCCAAAAGGGTTATACTAGTGGCACATCAAGCTGCTGCTTATCTTTGGTTTCCACCCAGGGAGAGGGGGGGAGGGGGTGCTCCCTTATATGGGCTATATAGGTATGTGCAGCCCCAAAGGGTATGGTTTTTCAGCTGTTTTGGTCATAAATAGGGTATCGATTTTAGCTGATTTTGGCCATTTTGGTCATAAATAGGGTATGGTTTTTGCACTCTAACCTTGATATGGGTATGTTTTTAAAAAGAAGCCACTTTTTTGTCATTATCGAAAAGAAAATCAACAAAAGCCCTTCACAAATTATGGTTACGGTAATTTAACATTGGTCTGAACTAGGGAACTTATTGTAACGCAGGTCTGAAACAGGGTTTTGATTTAAGGTCATTCCGTTGAAATAGAACCTGCACTGAGGTTTTTGTGAAACTTTGCCTATCGATTGTTTAAATATTATAGGAACTTAAATTTTGAAATAAAAATGAGGGGTCCCCATGTTCATTTAGGAGCAAAAGCACCTTGTTTATATCCATATAAATCCTTATAATAGCACCATGATTGTAGTCACGATTGCTTGCTAAATTCACGTTTCCGACGATTGCTTTCTGTTTTACACTGAGAATTGGTCCATATTTAGTTTACACAGAGAAATTTATTACTCAATTCAAAACAACAGAAAAAAATGATAGGTCACCATACTCGTTTGCGAGAAAATGACGATTTATCTCTATGACGAGGTCTGGCTGTAAAGAAAAAGCCGCCATTTTTTAATGCGCGCACGCTAATCACGCTTGAAATTATGCGCAGTAGGGATGCGCAATGCAATACTGGGGAATGACCTTAAAGGTTAGGTCATAAATAGGGTTTCTAATTTTTGGTCAGGTCATAAATAGGGTAGGGAATATTGCAGATTTTGGTCATAAATAGGGTAAGGGTTTTGGGAAGCGGGCTGCACACCCCCACCCGATTTTTCTGGGAGTACTCCCCCCCTCCCAGGGGGGGGGGGTTTCCACAGCATGAAAGAACCAGCCAAGATGAAGTTTGTGCACCTGGGTCACTTCATAGGAAATATTAAGTTATTTCTTGTTATTGCATAAGCCAAAAGCATCTGGTGTAGAAGCTGATTAAGCATGGAATATTTATTGACTGTCTTGTTTACCAATAACTCGGGCTTGAATTGCTTCATTCTGCAGTGACCAGAGTGAAGGACTAATTAATTATATTTAAGTAATTATATTTAAGAACCCTTGGATTCTCCAAATGGCAACAGACCTTACCTTACCTACATAAAAAATCACTTTTTAGTACTTGCTTAGGTTTGAAAATTTATGAAATTGCTTTTTATAATTTAAGTTACCCGTAGCATAATTATATTCAACATTTTATGATTTTTATGATACCAAGATACCATTTTATGATACCAAGTGTCCTTACACTTGTTCATGTATGTACATGATGCCCTGTAGAAATGTGCTTGCAGCCAGTAATTATGCCACCTACAGTAAACTGTTTGTTACCTACAGTACTCAAGTTGACAGATTCAGACTAATAACTTCTGTCATCCTGTGCACTACAAAACTATAAACCATTCTGGCAGGAACCTGTACATGCTATCTTTGAAGTGTTTATGCTATTTAATTCAATAGCAGTGACCTCTGAGTCATATTATAAACTGATTTTGCTGTCCAGTTATAAGAATTGTTATGAATGTGAAAGGGACAATGGTATTAGAATCTTCAGTTGCCATGTCTGTTTTACATTCAGTTTCTAATAAGCTTTATCTCATTCATTCAGCCTGTAGGAGGGGGAATGTTTGGTCGAAGTTTGGCTGAAACTGTGAGGTTTGAAACAAGACGTGGTGGAGGATATGTGCCTTTCATTGTACAAAAATGTGTAGATTTCATTAGGGCAAATGGTAAGCATGTATTTATACCATATGTACAAATCTACTGTGTTGTGGTTTGGTGGATTTAGCTGTGTTAATTTCGTCAAAATCCTTGGTTAAATTTACAGGCAGATTGGATCATGTGTACTTAAGGCATCTGTCGGTCGATACTGTCAGTTGGTTTGGTTGATCAGCTTTTTCAACCAGCCTCAAACCACGTTGAAATGGTTGAGAAACATTTGCGTGATTATGTCGCATGATTGAAGCTCATGTAAGGACTGTGCCCAGGAGTTACCGTGTTTCAACTAGAAACTGTTGGAAAAGTGTTTTTTTTTTTTTGAGAAATGTCAACTGTATCAACCCAAACTGGTTGCAGTTGAAATGGTTGATCCCAATAGAACACAACCTTAAGGTCTCTAATAGAAGCTTACTTGGGTGCCGCCTTGCGGAGTAAAAAGTATTATTAATGGTATTAAAAAGAAATTGATTAGTGAGTCATCAAAAAATTTTCAGTGTTCCTGCAGTTTGATGGAAAATAGTTTTTCATTCAAACAAAGAAATTTTCACTCAACTGAAACTATTTTTCAATCACCCAAATGAAAACAACTGTGTACTTGTTGGCTTTACAAATTTGACACTGTGCCTGTTTCAAACTGAAGAGGAATAGCCAAATTGTTTGTTATTCTGTGTTTTTAATTTTATGCGCCTCTCTTTAAAATGACTTTTTTGGAGCTAGGCAAGATGGTCAACACGACCTTCAACAGATTAGAAACATTAATTCAAGGTTTTTCGAAGATACCCAGTGCTTAATTCAGGAAATAGCAAGCAAGTACATGTACACAAACATGTACTAAGAAGATGGATGGGTTTAAGTGAATGACTTCCATTTTCGGCTTCATGAATTATTAATGAGTTTAAAAAACCTTGGGGGAAGTGCCCCAGACAAGCAAAATTTGAGAGTTACTTGCCCAAAGGGCAAGCTGGAATTTGAATATATTTTTTGAGCTCTGCTGATGTAGCTTCTCATCCTTCTCTTGGGTTTCATTCTGTTTAGATCCACTTCACATACAGTGGTCACTTTTGGAAACCTTAGATAACGAAAAGATAACTACACATATTAACTATTCTGCTATTGTTTATTGTCTACGTGAACAATTTATATGACATTGTAGTTCTGTTATTTATTTATTTATTTATTTATTTGTTTATTACAATAATGAATTAAAAATTAACCTAAAATAGATCAATTTCCATGTATTCTCAAAGGTTTATCAGAGGAAGGACTATTCAGATTACCTGGACAGGCAAAAAATGTGGCAGAATTGAAGGATGCCTTTAATAGAGGTACAGCATGCCAAATAATTTACGAGATGTCTTATGAAACTGTGCAAATTAGTTTGACTGTTACATGTAGTTCTGTGTAATATCTCTTGAATACCTGTACATATTATAAGTTGACCACCTTAGCACCTTGTTTGTCTTGGATCTAATTTGTTTGTCATCAGGAGGGAGTCCAGAGCTTGAAAGTAACAAAGCTGAAGTGCATTCTGTAGCATCAGTACTGAAGTCTTACTTCAGAGAACTTCCAGAGCCACTCATACCATATGACTACTTTGAAGTGTTTCTTACTGCTGCAAGATGTAAGTTGTGACATTTACACCATGTGCAATTATGATAATGATAATGATAATGATAATGATAATGATAATGGTAATGGTAATGGTAATGGTAATTATAATGATAATGTTAATGATAATGGTAATGATAATGATAATGAGAATGATAATGATAATGATAATAATAACAGTAATAATAATAAAGTGCATTTGATCATGTTTGTGATGGAAAATCGTGCTATGTAAGTAATAATAATTATTATTGTTATTATTATTATTATTATTATCATTAAATAAATTACAATGTTTAGAGAGAAAGCTACATCAGCCTAAGCTGGTTTTCATGCCGATCCCCTTTCCTGGCCAAATTGGAATTTGGAGTGTTGGTTTTTGTGAAGGAAGGAAAACAAGAGAAAATGGAGAAAACTCTCAGAGCAAGGCAAGAACCAACAACAAACTCAACCCACATATGGTACTGGGCCAGAATTGAACCTGGCCATACATGTATTGATGGGAGGCAAGCCCTCTCACCACTGTGCAATCCCTGCTCCCCAATATCAATAATGGCTTCAAGATTTTTGCATTGTAAACGCTTACACTTCATGTGTCTTTCAGTTTTGAATTATCAAAATGATTTTGTTGTTCCAGAAATTTATATTAACAATTATTATAATATGCTCCATGGAAGGTTTTCTGGTTTTGAATCCCTGCCCATCGAGAAATGCTAGTTAAAGAGCTTCATTATCTCCTTTAAAGTTTTTGGCTTTCGAGACCCACCGCTCCCTCAGAATTATCAAAGATCTTCCATGGACAGGTAAAAGTAAAGTCTGCATACAAGCTAAGAGGGCCATTTTAAAATAAGGCCAGCAGTTATCTCCAGAACTTTGCAGTCACATGAAGTGACAAGGAGTATTCCTACTCCCCCCTGTAGCTGGATGGGATGCTAGTCTATCGCAGGGTTTCCCCGCATTAAATTCGCCGGTACACATTTACAAATACATCTATGTGGAGAGAGACACTGTTGGAGCGATAAAAGTGTCTTGGCCAAGAACACAACAAAAATGTCCCTGGTCATGATGCCTGGTCATGATCCTGGACCACTTGGCACTAACCACAAGGCCGCTATGCCTTCACTGCACCTCCATGGGGAGGGTGTGGATATTTTTGGTACTGTACATTATCAGCGATTATTGGTGAAAATAGAGGTGTTCAAACAGCTTTGAATCCTACACTGAGTTTTGAAGTAAATAACCAAACAGGGCACATATCCATGTACAGTGAATAATTCTGGTTTGATTATATGTGTAGTGGACAGTACACAAGATATATACCAGATGTTAAAGCTTTCTAATCTGAATTGTGAAATAGTTTCCTCTGTACTTTATGTGGTGTTGTTTTGTCTTGTACCTGGTCATGATTATTTTTTTGTTTACCCAGGTTATGAAATGTATGAGGAGGATGGTATTACTGCAATACAAAAGCAGCTCAAAACACTTCCAAAGCCAAACTACATCCTTTTAGTGTATTTATGGTGAGTGTTGTTTTCTGTTGGGTTAGTATGGATAATCAAATGGTGACAAGTGAAATTAGGGAATAATTTCTCACATGTTTTGTCAAAATTCTTAATTCAATTTTTTTAAATTTTTATTCATCGAATGAGTGGAATGAATGTCAAATACCAAACTACACTTCTTGTTTTCACACATGTAGCCTTTGAAATGGTGTTCTTCTTGAGAAATACGCAGTAACTTAAAAATGCAAAGTTTAGTAACTAAAATACTTCTGCTGGCAACCAAATCTGAAAACTTAGGGGCCAGCTGGCCCAAGGCTTTTTCCTGAAAGTTGAGCCCTGATGTCGTGGGTGACAAATTTCACTTACAATCCTGGGTTTTTGACTTGTTTATTGTATCGAGAAATTTTGTGTCAAAAGTTCCCATGATGGAAATTTTGTAACTGCACATGTCAAATTATAAATTAATGCTGAAATTTTGCACCAAAATTAAGGAGTAATTTGTCACCCATGACATTAAGTTTAACTTACTTGTACATGTGCAGTATTTGTAGGGTAACTACATGTAATTTGCAGATCTTCTTTTTATACCAATGTGAACACACCCTTTTTGCCCATGGTGACTATACTTTTTCAAACCCCACACCAACCCCTTTGTTAAACACATTACAGTATAATAAGAAAACTAACAATGATTTGGCGTGAACTGATGTTATGGTTACCTTTCCATTGTTAAATTCTGTCATGGAAACTGCTTCCTTTTTAATTGCAAAAGCTGATTTCTATCAATGCAGCCCCTCTCTTGACTTGTCAAGCCTTCGTGTTTATCTTTTATTTCCCCCCTGATCACCCTCAAATGGTCTTGAAAACAAAACATGCACATACAGTTTTGAAAAGTAGCTGAACTTTCACTTACTGTTGATAAATGAAGTCCAGCTGATCTGACACTGTGATATTCTAAACTAAATTTTGTCTTTGTGTACTGCAGTGGGTTAATCTAGTGCCCAGGGCAGTTTTCTTATCTTTAAGCTCAAGGGAGGGCGTTTCTTGAACGCAAATAGTAACTACTAAAGGAGCTTATTAGGGGTGTGGCACTTAGTTTGTGTTTGACATAAGTGTCTGAAAATCCTAACACAAAACTGAGATATTTTATTTGAAGGAATTTTGTCCTTAGTGAGTATTACAAGAAATATTAAATGTAGAAATGACATCAACTTCGAAAAAAAAAATCTGAGTTCCAGATGGGATTTGAACCCACGACCCTCCGTCATCTGTCATGGCTGTGTGACCACACGATGTGGTTCCAGTCAAAGACTCCCATTTCAGAGGGGGACATGGGGATTTGCGGTGTTGCGGTTTTGATGTTTTTTTAATGCGATGATGCGGTGAATAAAATCTTAACTTGCGGTGTTGCGGTGATCTCAATCCCTACGGTGTGCGATGTTTGTGTTTTTCACGCTGCGGTGTTCGGTGAAATGAAATTGTTTGCGGTGTTGTGCTTTTTTGATTTACCTTTCTCAAACCTAAATTTGACCTGAATTTAGCTTGTAAACTTCGTTAATGCATGCTAATTTATGAGAAACACGTACCATTGAGTTTAATAATTTGTAACAAAATACAGACCATCACTTTCTAGTCAATCTTCAATATGCTTCGGCTGCCAATCCGAAGCTGTTTTCATTTATACGTAACTCTTGACAAGTAACTCAACCTCTGCCACCCGGAGCTCAGTGTTCGGTAGACACGTGGAGGAGCGAGGACTGAAACAATCCTGGAAATTCTGGAAACGTCAAGGCCGAATATAATGTATTATTGACTGCGCAGCTTTTTTCTACGAAAAAAGAAACGTATTTAAAAAGGAAAAGGTGACGAAAATTACCGGCCACAAAATATATTCAGATGTCGCGTCGGCAGGGAAGGAAGAAGGCTTTCTATAAGCTATGGAAGCTTTGTAAATTACACACGTTTACTATTTATTCCCTTTTGCCATTCGGTTTGTCTATAGGTCATTCTGATACTGGTCTATACCAGCTCCAAGGTCCTGTGACTTGACCTTCTATTTTTTCAAACGATTATCGATATCGAACGCAAACGCAACTAGGTCCTTAAAGCCATACTTTCAGTCAAGATAGGGCTTCAGTCAGTGGGTTTATACACCAAGAAAAGTGAGCGAAGTAAAAGAAGAGAGGGATCTGGGGTAAAGGCCATCTCTCGAGCCTCCTCTCTTTTTTCTTTGTCAGCTTCCTACAGTAGCTTCGCGCAAGGTTTCTTCGGCAAGAGCAAGAAAACTGATTTATAGGCATCAGTAGTATCAGCATATGCGCAATGAAAAGTGTTGTGATGTGTTTATTTTGTGGAAAATTGTTGAGGTATAAAAGTACTATTTTAAGTGTAGGTGAAGGAATCATGGTGCTAAAAATATGTGTTGCGGTGACGGTGTTTCGCTGACATTTCTTGCGGTGATGCGGTGTTCGTTAATATTTTTGCGGTGTTGCGGTGTTCAGAACCCACCCATGTCCCCATTTCACCCTTACTCACCATAGAGTCTCCAGTAGTTCAGTGGTTAGAGCGTCTGGCTAGATCACGGAGCGTTAACCCTTTGAATACCAACTACGCATGTATGCGTAATTAATGGTCGTGCTCTTTGTACCACTTGTCACGTCATCAATTTAAATGTCATCAGATATTCTTGATAAGCTGATAGTAGTGCTAGGCTAGCCCTTTCCGCACAATGGTCAGGTTTAGATATCGACG